CAAACAGACAAGAACAACAAACCCAACAATCGTCGCACTGTTTTCCGGTTTCACAAGTTCTCCCACAAGTTAAAAAGTCATTAAGACGAGGGAGTAGGCTTCTTTCGAGTCTAAGTCTTGAGAGATCATGCTCAACATTCTGAATCGCCTCCACTTTAGTACTTGAGAACCATGGCAAGCTGACTGAAATATTTCACAATCAAAATTATCAAAATCAAATTATGAATAATATAACATGAATTAAACTCACATTTTTAAAAAACATGGATAGGAACATATGTGTATTTGTGTATAGACGAAACATGTACATCGTCACGTATGTTCCATCATGCATTTGTAAGCATAATAATATCAATTTGAATGTAGAGTTAAAAAGAGACAGATACTAACTAGTAGTTGTCATGAGAAGAACAGTGAGCACAAAACCAAACTTAAGCAACCTCATGTTATATGGAAATAGTACTTTACACTTCATGAAAGTTTGCACATGAGCGTTTTATTTTATCTATAGAAGAGCGTAATTTATAGACCTCTCATGTAACGATATAGTAACTCTCTCGATTGGACTATAATCATTATTTTTAAGTAAATTATAACTAACATTTTTTATGTTCAAGTTGCCTGGGCTCACCTCCCTTGGTATACAATATTGAAGTCTACATAATTTTATATAGCTCTCTCCCACACTTTTTTTTTTAAAAAAAAAAGAAAAATACATTTTATAATAGTTTGTAAATTGTGCAAGATACTCTAATTAATGTGTTGACATGATCCTTTATTTTCGAAAAATGCACGTGGGATTAAAGGTAAACCTGATCCTTTACATTTTGTCATTTGAATATGGCTACTAATTAAATATGTTATTAAACTACACGCAATCCATTTTATCAAAGGAATCATATTCCTTTTTGTACACATTCTCTTGCATAGATTTTAATTGGATATCAGGATTTTTCGAAAAACAAATTTAATTCTATTATTAGGAAGATTCTCATTAGCAAACATAATTATGTTGCTTAATTAACCGGTACTCAATATAGGTGGTAATTATTGGTGTTAATGATACTCCTTTGAGAAGACCCTTTGCATGTGACTCAATTAATGAACTTACGTATTCTGCCTGCATGCTGGATAAACAAGGTTTAAAATATTAATTACGACGAGTTTATGATCTGCCATAGTTTTTTAAAGATGCACGTGAGACTGATGCACTCCCTTCTCGTCAGTAGTGTGTGCCTATCACATTATTTCACGTGAATAATAATAAATAAAGTGTATAATTTATTATGATATCCATATTTATTGGTGTACAGTCTTAATACATTTAAAAAATAATTTGGAATGAGAAATTAATAGGTGGTGGCGGCAATTAATAATGAATGTGATATCATCTTAATGAAATTAAGTCTCTGTTATAGATCTTAATTATACAGACCTATTCAGACCCATTAAGTGGTGGTGAAGTAAAAAAGCAAGCACACTTAATGATTAAGATCTACACATTTAAGTCAGACTTTAAAAACAAACACATTTAATGTCTGAGGTCTTAATGATTAAGATTCAGACCTCCATTAAGTGCAAACAAATGAGGCCTAAGTCAACTCAAGGTGGCAATATAGTTTTGACACTGACCGTGCAGTAAATGACGGATCCAAAGCATATTAATGAAATTAAAGCTCTAATTATTTCTCAACATTAAAATGCTAAGTGACCGTTTGGATATAAAAATTGTAAAATTCTAGAAAAAATTGATTTTTTTGTCAAGTGAAAATGGTATTTGAAATTAGAGTTACGTTTGGACATGAATATATTTGAAGTTGTTTTCGAATTTTTGTGAGTGATTTCAAGTGAAAATTTTGAAAAATAGTTTTTGAATTTTTTAAATTTTCGAAAATTCTGAAATTCAACTGAAATTTAAAATTTTTATGGCAAAACGCTGATTGCGAAAAAAAATAAAATTTTTCCGAAAAAGTATTTTTTTTATGACCAAACGGGTCCTAAGTAGCACCAAGAGCAAGAGAAAGGAGAATGACTAGCAAGGGTGGTCGAGTTAGTTGAGCAGGAGATTCCAAAATGGGAGGTCGCACATTAGAAACCCCCTGTATGCTTCTCGGTCGAGATCGTTAGACAAGGCTTACCTAGTGCGATTTATGATTTGCGAGCTATTGTAGAAAAGCGAAATTTACTTGCTGCTGAAAGGTAGCGGCTACGAGTCCCTAGTTTACCTAAGGCAAAAAAGAAGGAAGAGAAAGGAAACTAGAAACCATCAGACACCCTTGATGCTGTTTAACCAAAAATCTGAGTCTTTGGTCAAAGCTTTAAAAATATAAAGAAATTTGGGTTACTGATAATCTAGAGACGAAAATAATAAAAGACTTTTGAGAATAATAAGTAATTTTGTATTTCAGTGTAATCTCAATAATATTTCTTGTCCCCTTACAGATGTCGAGTCCTTCTCCTTTTATAGTTGATTTTAGGAGAAAGTATAATGCCTTTGTCTTAATGAGGCAATTATGAGCAATAAATGACATTAAAAGAAACGTTACTCAATCATTCTTATTAAATACAAATTCTCTAACGTATTTAATATTTAATGCTGAATTTGGACTCTTGTGCGTCATCAGATTCATATCTTCAATCCCTTCCGATCTTCGGGTTTTAAATGACTTATATAAGTACGAAACTTGTGCCTTTTGAATAGCGACTCGTGCCTATTTAACATTCTTCTCTCCGTATCTGTTATCGCCCGTGCCTTCTTGGTTGATTACCGTGTTCTGACAATTTGACTAGTCCACGTGTCATGACACGTCATCTTCAATATATAAATCCAGTTTTTTCCTAATACAGATAGTCCCCCCACTTTCCATTTATTTATCAATTAAATATTTGGGAAGTGGATCTTCACAAAAAGGGAATTTTTACCATAATCAATGCTATGATAGTACTAACGCTTCAGTTGTCTTTTCTTTTTAATGCTCTGCACCCGCGTCACCTTCTGATTGGCTCTGTAATTTTGCAGCCTTTTTTCAAGGCTTATTCATACCTTATGTTCACGAAGTGATAGTTGCCTTTAATATAGGCTTTCCATCATTACACTTCTTTGTTCGACGGTTGCTATTATATACATATTTAACCATTTTTTCTTTGTCTTCTTCTTCATAAACCTTTAACAGATACTTTACTCTTTACTTTTGCTCTTTTCTCCTTTAGTTTATCCTTTATTGGCAATGGCATCTACGAATCCTAACCCTAAAAGAATCCCAATTCTTGATAACTTCCCTAACGCCCCTATAAGGCATAAAAGGGGCAGAGGTGGCAGGCTTCGTAACCTAGGATCTGTTCGTGGTGGCTCCTCTAGCTCCATCGCTCCATCTTCTAGTTCTGGCACTATTTCCAGAGGTTCTATCACTAAGAAACCCTCTTCTAAAGGTAAAGAACTTTCTGAGCCTCTTCAAGAACCTTTAGTTGAAGAAATAGTGCCTAATGACTTATCCTTTGAGAATGATAGAAAATCTCTTCGTGACCAAGTCGTTAATTTAGAGAAGGCTGACACTTTTCCTTCTCTAATTACTGAACCTTTGGTTTCTATTGTTCGAAAAGATTGTAATTGTAGAAGTGATCTTCGTATAGTAATCCCTAACCCAAACCAAAGAATTTCTTCTTTTAGGATGGGATTTTCTTTTGTTTATACTTACCCCTTCACTTTGGGATTTATTCCTGCTATCAACCCAGTTATACTTGATTTTTGCCGCTTTTTCAAAATTTGTTTGGGACAAATTGGCCCCCTTGTATGGAGAGCAGTGGCTTGTTTGAGGTATTTATCTGGTACAACTAATGTTGATTTTTCCTTCCCCCACCTTATTCACCTTTACCACCCCAGGCTATTCCGCAATGGAGTTTTCACTTTAACTGCAAGAGGTAAAAGGGTCTTGGTAAGCCCTGAAGATGACAAGGATCGTGGGTGGTATACTCGTTATGTTGCGGTACACACAATTGATTTGGTGGGTGAAACAAATATCCCCTTCCCTGAGAAGTGGAACTTTGCACGTAAGTTTTTCTTTACTTACCGTTCCTATCTTTAAGAATTTCAACTTCTTTTCTAATTTTATCCTTTTTTGCTTTTCTATAGCAACCATGGGAGATGTGGAACCCGTTCCTAATTTCCGTGGTTGGGTAGACTTAATCTTGAAAGCCGTGCCTATGGAGGCGAGAACTTGGAAATCCATTTCCAATTTGCATGGTTGGAAAGTGAAAACTCACGGTATGCATCTCTCTATGTTTTTCCATATGTTAAATCCTTTCTTGTTTCTAACTTTTTATCCTTCTTTTTATCAGGATTTGCTATTCGAGGAATGACAACTGAAGTGGCTACTGTCCTTCGAGCCTCTTCTGGTACTTCACTTTCTTTGGAGAGAGCTCAGGCTAGACTGTCAAAGAGGAAAGTTGTAGAAGAAGATTCTAAGGACAATGAAGATGAAGACACCTCTTTGATGGCTAGACCAAGAGCCAGGAGACGCATCGTTTCCGAGGATGAAGCTGAAGTTACCCCTGTTAGTGCCTCTCTTACCGAACCTGTTCACATTCCTTCTGATGATGGAACCACTCCACTGGACACCAATGAGTCTATTCAACGTCTTTTCGTTGGTGGTTTTGAAAGTGGTGAACTAGGTCCAGTTTTGAATGAAGTTCCTCTTTCTTCCTCTATTCCCATTCCTTCTATTTCTCCGTTGATTTCAAGTGCTTCCTTGCCCATTCTATCTGTTCCTGCTCCCTTACCTGCTTCGAGTCCTTTGACTTCTGTTATTTTCACTTATTCTACCACTCCTCCTTTTATATCTCTCCCTTCCTCTGTTCAACATGCAGAGGATGGCACTAGCAACAGAAGCTCGACTATGAGGAGCGTTACACTTGAAGTTCCTGCCAATAACAGTCTTTTAAGGAAGTCTGGTGGAGCAGATGACTAGCTTAAGCCTTTGATTGGAGATATTGAGAAGAAGAAGATGGACAGCCATAACTGCTTAACTTTGATGAATGACATTGTTCATTCTACTTTGAAGGTATTTTTCCTTTACTTACTAACTAGTTTTTTTTATCTCCAAATTCTTATTTCCATGAGTTGTCACTGCAGGCTAACCTCATTGGTACAGAATTGATGGGAAGAATTTCTCTTCTGGAAAAGAAAGCCCGTGAGTCTGAAAAGTTTATCCATGAGGCTGAGGAAATAGCTAAGGGAGCCCAGCTAGAAGCAGCTAATTGGAAAGAGCAGTTTGAGAATGTTCAGGGAACTATAGAAGAATTACAAGAGAGTAGAAATAACCTGGAGCAACAAAAGCGAGGTCTGACTTCTGAATTAGTAGTTGCCAAGGCTTCTTCAAGCCAATTTGAAAAAGATAAGGAGCGCCTTGAGTGTTCATTTTCAGAGCAATTATCAAAGTGTAGTGAAAAGATAAGAGAACTTAAGGCACTCTTGGCCAAGAAAGATGAGTATGCAGGGGAGTTAGTGCAAAGCTTGACTCAAGCTCAAGCTGATTTAAAAATCTCTTCTGATAAGGTTCGTGCCTTAGAGAGTTCTCATGCCTCCCTTGAAGCTTCCTTTGATTTTTCTTTAGCTGAAAATCAAGTGTTAAAGAATGATCTTGCTATGTGGGAAAGGGAATATGGACTTCTTGAGGAGAATTTTAACATAGAGGTGAGTTGGGCTTTTCTAAACTCTCGTCGTGATGCTTTAATGGAGGCCAGTCAAGAAACTTTGATTTAAACTCAGAGTTGGTCAAAGTTTTAGAGACTATTGAGAGAACCCAACAACCACTTGACTTTCCCTCTCCGACAATTGAAGCTCTCGTGGCTGAAGAACCTTTAAATGTTGAAGCCGTTGCTGTGGCAGTTGAAAATGCTGCAATTCTAGCTCCAGAGGGTGAAACTTCTATGACTCAATTTGTGGATGTTGAAGCTTCCGTGACTCTTGATCCCCTCATTGATCCTAACACTTCAAGCTCAGCTGAAACCGCTCCTGTTGCTGCTTCTTCAGAAGTTTCCACCGTGCCTGTGGCTGCTTCTGAAAGTGAAATTAATATTGCAACTTCTGATGTGCTAACCCCTTCAGTAACCAGTTAAATTTCCAGGCTTTGCTTTTTTTCTTTCTTTATTGGATGATGGTTTTATCCCTTAGTTAGTTTTTTAAGGGATTTTTTTGGTGAAAGTCCCCAGTTATCATAATGGGGCACTTGTATAAACTTTTATTGACTAAGTTACTACTTAGTCTTTTTAATTATATTAAGAAGTTTGTTAGTACTTCAATGTGTTCTATTCTTGCCTTTTCCTTATTTATTTAGGACTTATAGAATAGTTTATCATTTTTATCCTTTGAAAAATGCTTTATGATTCTTCTCATGACTTATTAACATGAGGTTTATAAAAGAGGGCCCTTTTATATATATCGACACTTAATGAAGAAGACGTCTCAACTTCATAATGGTGTTACAATACGATGAAAGAAATAGGAATACACATGTTTTGTTTGAAACAACTTTGACAAGTTTTTATTCATGAACTTGGACAAGCTTTTGAATATTACATGTATTAAAATACATCTATAACTTTCTCGTAACTGTTTTTCTTGTAACAGATTTTTACAAAATGAATGTAAACTAAACAAGGTTTTTCCTCATAACTCGTTTCAGTACATAGTCATGACCCTATCTTAATGTATTAAGAAGGGTTTGAGAGGTGACTCCGTTGCTCTTATGAGTTTGAGAGGTGACCCTATTGTTCTCATGAGTTTGAGACACTATGATGATATCAATCTCCCTTTGTTCTAATGGGAAAGAACACTATGATGAATGCTGGAAACTCCGTAACTTTTGCTCAACACTTGCCACTTTGTATCTGTGCACAATTTACACGTATCTGTGTATAATATGTAGTCCCCCAAGTGTTTGAGCGGTGAAGTATGAAGTCTCGAGAACTTGTTTGTTTCTCTCAATTTTGGTTCTTTTCCTGAAACAGAAAAACATACGGGACTCGGAGGTGCGATTAGAGATGAAGACTGCCTAACCCGTGTATATTTCCATTAGATTAATTTGTAACCCTGGGCTGGGAATTTTAGAATATTCCATTTTGCCGTGAAGGTCATGACTCATCATTTGGCACGAGTTAGGGTTTTTGCCTAACATCTAAAATCGTTAGTAAAATTTTAACAATCCAAAGAAAAATTCTAATACAGCGATACCTGATCGTAGGTACTTTCTCAGAAATAATATCGCTTTAGGTGGGCAGCATTCCAATGCAAGGGTAGAACCTTGCCATTCATTGTCTCCAACTCGTATGCTCCTTTTCCTGCAGTGTCACGAACTCTGTAGGGTCCTTCCCATGTTGGACTCAGCTTTCCTGAATTAGCAGTTTTTGTAGATTGGAACACCTTTTTAAGCACGAAGTCCCCAATTTTAAAGAATATGAGGCGTGCTTTCCTGTTATAATACCATTCAATTACTTGCTTTTGTGCTGCTATTCTTATTAGTGTAGCTTCTCTTCTTCCTTCGAGCAAATCAAGATTCACCCGCATCTCTTCATCATTTGATTCCTC